CTTTTTTTTTTTTTTTTGTGGCCAGCAGTGGTCCTTTGGTGGAAGGTCAGATTGAATCAGCATGCTCCACTGGCCCATCTTGCCTTGAGTTCCTCTAGACAAGACGACACCAGAAACGACTAGGAGAACCCACCCAATCATGAGCCTCCACCTGTTGCCACAGATCAGCTAAGTGGAACCGAGGGGTAGTACACACCTGAGACTTACTACCTCTCAGTAGTACCAGGGAACCCTCAGCAAAGGAATCAAAAGAGAAAGGAGGAAGATTACTTAGGGAGAGGGAATAGGTGTGGAGGCAAAAAGGGAAAGAAAGGAAAAGAGAAAGAAAATCAAAGAGGTAGAATTAGTGGAAGGAAAAGCAAAGAATGGTGGCAAAGGAGTCCTGTGTCTCTCTGACCTGAAAGAATTGAAAGGCTAGGAAAACAGCTTGGGGATGACATTTCATTTGTTCTTTATGATCATCTCTCTAATAGCAAGCATTTTCTATCTCGTATTTTTCCTTATCCATCTTCCCCTTTAGTATCTTTTAGTTTAAGTGAGAATTGGTGCTCCAGCTTGTGATGAGTCAGGACCAAGGACAGCAACATGCTCACAGCTATTCCTTATCCTACCCCTCCTTTCTATTCCCTATGTTTCCATTCTGTCTGCCTTCCTACACTTTACCTCACACACATATCAACTCTGCCTGTGTGAAGCACAAAGTGCCAGCAATACATCTAAGGGGAAAATTCATCCCACCTAAGTTACTGCCTGATGGTGTTCCTAGTCTTTCCTGGAATACAGTTTTAAAATTTTGACTCAAAACCCAAATTGTGACTTTAAACTCACAAGAATTCAAAGATAGGATAACCTTTCAAGATATGCAGGGAAGTCCTTTTTCTGCTCCTGGACTGGGGATCATGGGCTCTTCAAATGCCATTAAGATAGTGGAGAAACTAGCCAAGGTTTACCAGGTTTTACTGAGTTAGGTAAAAATCTGTCAAAAGAAGTGGTTATAGCAATAGTAACTTAGATGAAAGAAAGACTTCCCCCCCCCCCCCCGGCTTTCCTTTGGTCTTTATTAGAAATGGTTATTTATTGTAGTTAGGGACAATTAGATTACTTCATTAAAATGGCTTTTACAAAATAAATATATAAGTTTCTCTAAATTAAAAATGTCTATTTTAACTTTTAGTATTTTAACAAGATACTATAGACACGTCTTGAAATTTTAAATCTAAAAATAGGATTTCATCAAAATATTGTTACTATTCTATTCTGGGCATTGATATACTATGTATTTACTATTTATGGCTCTCTAGACGTGGTAAACACTATACAAAAAATTTAACTTTATTGATCAGAATAGTCCCTCATGAAAAGGAAATTCGGTGGGAAAATGAACTGTGTATATGTTCATAAAGTAACTCAGCTTGACATTTCTGAGGAATAACAAGACTTCACAAAATCAGTAGTGGTATGATAGATATATACAGATTTAAAGAGATTCTTAGGAATAAAAAGGAAACAATAGTTATAGACCCGCAAATCCTTTCCTTGGTAAAAACAAAAGTCAAAGAAATCCTAAATCTACTAACTAGCTATTATACATTGTTGTGAAACCCTGTGTGATGGACAAGCAGAGTTTATGGCATGGTGCTTTTTCCTTTTGGCCCCAGTTTCTGTGAAAAGGTTTAAAAATAGTCATGCTCTGGTTTTTTGTCTAAGAACCAACAAACTTTTTTATCTTCCCCAATAGGAAAACAATGTGTGTTTTGGAGGCAGAAAAAGTACTGTTGATTTATCTGGACTTTAATCACAGGGAAAGTTCATTGAGGATAAAAGGTATTAGTGTGACATACAGAAAATTTGAAAACAAAGAGCTATGAACTGGAATGAGGTATACGTGGACTGTTCTTGAGATTCTAATTCACCAATCAAAAATGCAGGGAGAACCAGCTTAAAATCAGTGAAATTACATGAGACATTTTGTCTCTGGGATGACATAGTCTGTCCCTTCTAATCACACCTGATGCTACTTAGAATCCTGTGACCTGGCCTCTTCTTGAGTTTGACTTCTGCAAGTCAAGAGTAACCTCTGTGTAGTGTAATGGATTTATGGTAATGACCACCTGATTGCCTTGGAGAATGGTAAAATCACCACATTTTATTGCCTGCCTTAAACTATCTTCTTTTCCCTCATTTTTTGAAGGATATCTTTTGCCATCCATCAGTTTATAAGTATATTGCTAATTATCAGCTGTTTCAACCATATATTTTCTCTCACCATGCCTTCTATACCAAGAGATTGATACCCCACTTTTCTTCTCTGTCTTTCACTGTATATCATTCTCACAAGACCCTCACAGCAAAATTCCAGCTTTTCTGACTGACTTTTTGATGCATTAAAGACTTTTCTTTTGTCATAAATTTCCTGTAGAACCCTTACTCCAGAGCTTCTTATTGATCAAATGTTAAATCCCTTTGCTAGTGTTGTTAGGTACCATGGAGTTGGAACTGGTTTATAGATGATCCTCTAGTGGGTTTTCAAAGGCAGTAAATCTCATGGGAGAAGATTGTTCATTTTTCTCCCATGGGGCTGGTGGATTTGAACTCCATACTTTTGGTTTGGCAGAGCAACTCCTTTCCTCCTAGGCCACCAGAGTTTCTAGTGATCAAAGGTATCTTAGAGTTAACGAGTGACTTCTTCCAAAAGCACCTATTTATAATGAATATTTTAGTGAAGTGGATATTTAAGTGATATGGATAGTACAGTGAGGTTTGGGTTGTTTTTGGATAGCCAATATCTTGGAAAAAATGAATTCTGAATAAATGACTAAAATTCAGGGACTGTGAAATATTTATTATTAGATAGGTATATCATTCTAAATCATTCTGTTTAAACAGGTAATATGGTGGTATTCCATGTGCTTGTTTATTTGTGGACAGCTCCTTATCATTCCTGAAATGAGAAATATTGCTGTTGTTAATACATCTACCTTCATTGTAGAAAGAATAGGATTTGGAGCATTTTATATAAAACATAAATACACTTCCTTACAAAGTTAGTGACTCAGTAATAGAGAATATTAGTCATAGATGTCAACCAGAAACGGACTATGCCTTTCTGCTTTCAGAACAGGACTCCAGATGGTAGACAGGAGAGAGAGAAAGAGAGACAGTCTAAGTCACAAAGTGGCTTTTATTTGTCTATTTATTTTTGGAGTGTTTCTCTGAACATCAGTCTACTTGTAAGTCAAATGATCAGAAAGTAATATAAACTGGCTACTTGCATTTAGTTTTTATGCTCGATTAAGAATGAATTTTATTTCCTCTATTTTTGTGAAAGTTTAATGAGAACCACCTACTTGAAAAAAACATTCTCGTAATTTCTGGAATTTTATCTGGAAGAAGTTGTGTATTTCGGTGTCCATTTCCTTTTCTAAAAAAAATTCTCTGAGTAATGAATTTGAGTCTCAGGAAAATTTCCATTTTCATACTAGTATCTCTACTTCTTATCGTTTTATAACAAATATCTACAGATCAATGTGTTTCACTGTGCCCCACTGTTATGATAGCTGTAATTTATGCTTGAATATATACAATATGATATGATGCTTATTTCTCTTGGGGTAAGTGACAAGCTTGCGTTCTGATCAGGATTTGTACTCCAGGGTTTCTCAGCAGGAATTCTAACTGTGAGTCCTATGCTCTAGAGGTGGCTACTAGTAAGCTTTGCCATTTTGCATTATGAATTTCAGATACAAATTTTTCAACTGGAAAAAGTCTTGACCTGTCACCTAGCATGATGAATGTTATTAGAAATGAGCTCTTATTAATAAAATTAAAGCAATTCAAGCTATATAGATAAACTAGAGATATTGAAAGAGATCTTTCTCATCCTTATGTGAACAGAGCATAAGAGTCCATATCCTGACCCTTAGGAATGATGCTCCACGTTAAATCCTTAATGTTTCTATGCCCAGTGGTAAACTGGGGGGTCCTGGCTATCTGATATCTGGAAAGAAGGTGATAGAATATTTTGTTCCTCTTAACATTTGTGTTGTGACTTTTTTTCTTTTTCATGTAAGTTGATGGTCAGAGCACCTAACAGGACAGAGAATTGACAATTTAGTTTAATATGTCACTATTTGGTCTAAGACTCAGTTTCCTGATTACTTGGTAGGAAGGTTGCAGGGAGTAGTTAACACTTATATAATTAAAACGTCTCCACTGGCTGCTGTTATCTGTCAAAAGAAACTGTAAGAGTTGTTATGGACTAATTAGGTTGGGAGCCAGTTTGAAATATGCGACTATTGAGACGTTTACAAAGAGTTTCTGCAAATTATATATATGCCTAAAATGACTATTCTTTTCACTTTGCAGGAATAGTCTTCATTTCCTTTATTCTATAGGTGTCTTCAGTATTATGCATCTCAAATCCTTTTGAAGATGGGTGGAGTACAAAATTTAGATGAAAAAAGAAAATAATAGAGCGCTCTTATTGGTTCCTTTGGAGGAGGAGCCCATGGCTTTTCTCTTCACTTGTAGCTTATCTTGAAGTAGCTGATAAACTTGCTCTAACAAAAACAAAATACCTTGCTAACCAGGTGCAGGGCAGGTGGAGAAAAGATAGGAAATGGTGCCTGAGGTTTCTATTTTTAATTGGCAATGCTTTAGTACTTTTCAAGATTGCATAACCCCAACCCTACCCCTAAGTCCTGAAAAGAAACTTTGCCTTTGACACTACTGGGAAGATAACTCAAAGGCACTTAGGCCTTGAGGTGTGGCAAACAAGTCTTGGTACTAACAGTGTGGGAAGCAATCACCTGAGAAGCAGTATTCCTAATTTGAGTTTAATCGCTTCTTCAAACATTAGACCCTTGTGTCTTTCTGGAACACCAAAGGAAAAAAAAAAGAATGCAAAGAACTGATCACCATCATCATGTTTCTCCATACACACAATGCCCTCTCCTTTCCAGGTGCGTCACTCTGGTCGAACAGCAAAGGAGTCTGAGAATTTATAGAGTTAGTCGAAACTGATCTTGCTCGGGTGGTTTCCTCACCCAGGTGCCCAGGCCAGCTTTCTGAAACGCTTTAAACAGCTGCTGCTTAACCGACTGGTAGGTGTAAGCCCCAAGCTTGGCTTCACAGTACATTGATGGCGTGTCTCCATGGCTTGGTATCCGTGTGCTCAGCTGGGGAATAGAAACCGGAAAGCACAAAGAAATGATCCAGCAGAACTCAAAGGCTTTCCTAGATGACTCAAACCACCATATATACACTTTAGAAGCAAAACATTAAGTCTTGGTTTTGGGCTTTTAAAATTTCCCTTCTGTCATCCTTTAAAGCAAACAAAACACAACACTATTAGAGGACAACTTCAATCATTCTCTCATGGAAATCTACGGAAAGCTTAGTTGTTAAGAAAATGTTTTATTATCCAGAAGTGTGAATGAACAGAAGCAGCATATACCTCGCCTACTGTTTAAACCAGGAATACCACCTTTCTTCTGAGGAGCTGCTGGTGGATTTGAACTGCCAAAGAGATGTAACCTTTGGGTTAGCAATGCAGACAAGACTATCAGAACTCGCTACTAAAGAACTATGATGTACAATATTCAGTATTCTCTAAATTGACAAAACTGTTTATCTTACATTCCAGTACAATTACCTTATTCTTCTGTTTGTAGATCAATCAGGAGACTATTATTCCTATTTGTAGGCCTTATTGCTGTGGGTTTTCAGAGGCAATAAATCACATAGGAGTAACTGGTGGGTTTGAACACTTTTGCCTTTGCCTTAACTGTTAGGCCACAAGGGCTCTCTTATATTTGTTATTGTTATTGTTATGTGCGGTCAAGTTGCCTGCAACTCATAGTGACCCTATACATAATAGCTCTGAACCCTGCCCTATTCTGAGCCAGTCTCAATGTCTCTGACACACTTCACTCCATTATTTCAGTTACTGTCAATCTAGGATCTTCCCCTCTTGGGCTGTCCCTCCACCCTTCCAAGCTTGATGGTCCTTCTCCAAGGACTGGTTCCTTTTGGCCATGTGCCCAAAGTATGTGAGACATAGTTTTGCCTCTAAGGAGTAGTTTGGTTTCACTCTTTCCAGCTGTTTGTTCAGAACAAACCTGTTTGTTCTCTTTGCAGTTAGGAAGGAAGGAGATTAGAAGAAATGACCAAATGGCAGAATGACACCTGCAAAACCTGCAAGAGCCAGGACTTCATTCATGTGGGTGGCTACTGCCAGGTCTAGGGAAAGAGGATGTGGGATGGGCAGAGAGAGAGAAAAAAAAATTGCATTTAGTCAGTGGCTGGCTCTGAATGAGCTGCATTATCTCCAGGTCATGGGCATCATGTTCTACATCTGGTCTCTCCCAAGCACAGGACCATCTCCAGCAGCCACTGCCTCTCCAGTACCTGGTCAACAATCAACCTGCAAGTCTTGCTGGAGACAGAAGACCCTGCTCTGGCTGCATAAAGGTGTTGCTGTGTTCTTTCATATGTGGAAGCGCAGTCTTAGAAGGGCAGAAAATATGCTCTTTCAGCTCCTCGTCTATGTAAAGCATCAATGGAGCCAGAAAGTTTTCAGGCACTATGTATCACAGCTTCCCACTACAAGCCTTCTCTCTGTCCAGGAACTCATGATCCCATGTCTTCTCTGAGCATTTATTGTTGTGTGCTGTCATGTTGGAACCAATTCACTGCTGACTCTTCAGGAGGTTTCCAGGTAGGAAACTGGAGAGTTCCCATCTTTGGAGATTTGGTTTCCTTATATCCACACTGGAAATGACAATTGCACCAGAAAGTTTCTGTGAGCTTTTCTTATGACACCATGTGTAAGTTGGTTTATAGTCTGGTGCACATGAGGTGCTTGCAAATTACTCCCTTTTCTGCTTGATTTGCTAGTGACAGAACATGTCTCAAACTCTAATGGATGGAGTGTCAGGTGATGGTAACATTGCTATTCATGGTTCAGGCTTTGAATATCAAAACTTCAGAGCCTAAGTCTTTGAGGGGGTATCTATTGGCCTGGGCATTTAGGGAACAGGAAACCCAAATCTCAACTAGTTTTTGAGTCCTGTGTCACCCTCGCTGGAATCAAATGACAGCTCCCTGCCAGGCTCATCACCTGTGAGCTGTGTTCAGGATGTGAGCCTGGTCCAGCTGTATCAGCTTGTCCCTAGACAGCAACGCATGTGACCTACCTTACCATAAAGTCTTGCCCAACGGGCAGAGAACACATGCTTGCAGAGTCTTGACGAGCCCCCACAGTCTCTCTTCCCTGTGGTGGCATTAATAATCTCCAGGTCCGCATTACCCACAATCCAGTTCACGCTGAAGGGGGGAGACTTTCCTGGCTGTCGTGCTTCTGCATTACTCACTCCTGTCCGCAGAGAAATAGAAAGCAGCCAAGCATTAATATTCCTGGCCCCAAACGAGGCTCCTGTGAGACCAGCTAATGGGAAATAAAGTTGGGTTTGCTCTGGTAGGAGGTATTCACATGCACATAGTCCTGATTCCCTCCACCCACCTCCCCATTAAATACCCAGTAGGTTCATTCTGAGGTTATGACTTGACCTGTAGGGATGGATGCTGAAAACAGAGTATAGCCATAATGACAGCTCTTGCTTGAAAATATTGCAAGGACCTGTTTATAACCTTTTAATTTAAAAGATTGTGCGGGAAGGCTTGTAATAATAAAACACTGCCCTGATTCTCTCCCGCTTACTTTCTATAAATATTTGTTGAATGAATTAATGAACAAATGGAGCCATGTAAAAGCAACCTAAGAATACATGTTTATAAGGCACTTGGCTTCGTGTCTATCTATGCACTGAGTAAAATCTCAAGGGGAGAAAACAATACCAGGTAGACCCTTAAGTTTATACTTCAGTTAAAGAGAAAAATAGTAATATTAATAGACCAGAAAGAAGAGAGATGTGAATCAAGTGATGTGATCCAAAACCCAAACTGGCTATATAATTTACAATTTGCACCCAGTGCAAATGGACCACACACTTTTGTCAATTTGTAGTATTATGAGGTCTTGCTTGCTATGAAGCTGAAGCTATGTTAATGAAATTCAAATATTGACAGGTGGACTTGTGTCAGAGGATCTTCCAGGTCAAAACTGACTAGGAAGAAAGGCTTGGTGATCTACTTTTAAAAATTAAATGATGGAAACTTTATAGATTTCAAAATATTGTCTAAGACTTTGATTCATTTATTGAGAGGGAATCGAAGGTAAGGGATCTCTCCACCAGGTAGGGTGACATAGTGGCTATAACAACGGACTCAATCATATCAACAATTGTGAAGATGATGCTGGGCCAAGCAATGGGCTGTTCTGCTGAATATAGAATTGTCATGAGTTGGAGTCAGTATAACTGCAACTAACATCTGCAAAAGGAAAATGCAAGACTATAGTTAAAAATTTATTACGAATTTTGAGAAAGCAACAGCTGAGTATTAAACTAAGCACAGTCTCTTAGTATGGGGTTGTGTGTGCACTCAACTTATTCTGTCCTGAAAATAGTTAAAAAAAAAATCAAAGAAGTCCTTATTTCAAAGTGTTTCCCTCCATGTCAGAAAAGCTCTGATCTTCAATTGGAACTACATAATCATATCTGTAATTGGTTCAAAAGTAGACCAGACATGGAGCAAACTACTTTTTGTTTTGTCAACCTATGTAGATAATCACACACTGTTGCTTGCTTCTAACCTCAGACCTAGACTCAACTCTTACCCAGCCATCCAATGATGCTCTTAGTTCTGAAGTCTGGTAACCTGTTGGGAGTTTCTGAAGTAATCTCACCATCCTTATGCCACTGTGACCCCCCCTGGATAATTTTAAACTTTGCAAGATTCTGATGCTGCCATGCTTTCTCCACTCATCTGCTTTTCCTTTGAAGGTTATGTTTGCAAATTGGTAACCTTCAAAGGAGGCAAAGAATCTGAAGAAAACCATGCTGCAGCAGTTTGGAGGCAAGAAGCAGTTTCCCAGGTGTAAACAAGCCAGATGATTTCAATATTCTAAACTTTCCTGTGGCAATCTCATACATAATAGATGTAACCCTAATAAGTTCTAAAGGGGGCATGCCATATATCCCAGTCTCTGTTCAGAGTCACATTCAGAGAAATTCAGTGTAAGATGCAAAAGTAAGCAGAAGAGTTCAATTTCTTCTTTGTTGATGTAGAGAGTTACAACTTATGACTTAGTTAGCTTGTAACTACTTGTTAAATGTCACTTCATCTCTCTCCCAAGATGTCTTACAGGTTGACACATCTCCCCACATTTAACTTGACTTTCTTCTTCTCTTTAGTTCTATATTGGAAAGATCCACTTAGCTTCTGGTATGCATTGAATTGGGTCCCCCATAAATATGTGAACTGTTAAGTCTTGTACCTGTAAATAGGACTGCACCTATAAAGAGAAGATTCATTGACTATGCAAAGGCATTTGATTGTGTGGATCGCAATAAATTGTTGCTAATCTTGAGAAGAATGGGAACCTCAGAACACTTAATTGTGCTCTTGCTAAGCCTGTATTTGGACCAGGAGGCAGTCGTCAGAACAGAGCAAGGAAATACTGCATCGTTCGAAATCAGGAAAGGAGTATGTCAGGGATGTGTCCTGTGTCCATACCTTTTCAATCTGTATGGAGAACAGATAATTCAGGAGGCTGGACTTTATTAGGAGGAATGTGGTATCAGGATTGGAGGAAGACTCTTCAACAACCTGCATTATGCAGATGACAGACCTTTGCTTGTCCAAATTGAGAAGGACCTGAAGTGTTTGCCACAGAAGGTCAAGGACTGTAGTCTCCAATATAAATTGAAGCTCAACATTAAAAAAGTTGAAGATTATCACCTTTGGGCTGATTTGCAGCACCGCAATAGTTGGAGAAGAGATTGAGGTTGTTAACAATTTCAGCTTGCTCAGCTCCACAATCAACTTTCTTGGCATCAGCAGTTAGAAAATCAAAAGATGAATTGCACTAGGAAGTCTGATATCAGGAACCTCTCCAAAGTGCTAAAGAGCAGTGATATTGAGGGGAGAGCATAAACCCCATTTTATGTGTCTGGTGCCCTCCAGGAGCCTGACTCAAATCCAACCTTGAAAAGAACTCATCAATTCCAGAGGCAGAAGTGGGCCATAAAAATTCTTAGCTTAAGGAGTGGTCAATTAAGGGTAGAACAAACACAGATGCACCAGAAAGCCTTATCAGGTGGGGTCTTATCTGTTTTTGCAAAGTTTAGAATTAACTTGTTTAATTTGCCCTACTTGACTTTGGGCAGAAACAAGCATGGCACCTGAAGAAGTGTGTAAGGGACACGGAAAGAGCAAAGACAGGCAGAATAGCCACTTAAACACCAGCCAGTCATAAGCCAACCCACATGACTGATCCATCTGCCCACCAACCATGTTCACAATTACCCCACCCCAGACAAAGGCACCTGAAAGGGCTTAAAAAAGCCCCTTAAAAGAGGGCTGGGGGATCTCTAGTCATCTTTCTACTAAGAGAGGGAGCCCCCCATGTGGAAACTGTTCTGCAATGTAAAGCACTCTTTGTTATTTGCATACATGGGGCGTGGTCTTTTGGGGCGGCACTTTGTGGACCTAACAATATCAGTCTAGAGACTAAGGTGCACCTGATCCAGGCCATGGTCTCTGCAATTACTTGTAATCATGAGTGAGTTAGACAGTGAGGATAACTGAAGAAGAATTGATGTCTTTGAGTTGTGGTGCTGGATAATATTATGGAACATATGATGGACAACCAAGAGAACAAATAGGTCTGCCTTGGAGAGGGTGAAACCAAGTTTCTCCTTGAAAGCAGGCTTTTGAAGCTCCGTCTCACATACTTTGGGCATGTGGCCAGGAAGGAACAGCCCTTGGAGAAGGATGTCATGCTCAGAAGGGTGGAGGGACAGTGCAGGAGAGGAAGATCCTGGATGAAATGGATTGATACAGTGACTGGGGCAATGGGGGTTGGTGTGTTGGAATTAGTGAGACTGGCTCAGGACAGGGCAGGCTTCAGAGCTGCTGTACACAGCGTTGCTATGAGTCACAGGTGACTCAATGGCACAAAACAATGGGTTCTATCTTAAAGCTAATCAGTTATGAATTACAGAAAGATTAAATTAGACACAGACACACAGATGGGGCAAGACAGAGACAGACTCATTTACAAATTCAAAAATGTTAAGGATTGTACCAACTTCTGGAAGCTGAAATAGACAAGGAAGGCCTTTCCCCTAAAGACTTGTTTTAAAATAAAGATTCTAATTTTCTGAAATAGAGATTATTTTTGTTTTTTAAAGTAACTAGCTTGTATATAGTATTTCTTTTATGGCGGTCGTTGTTGTGTGCCCTTAGGTTGAGACTGACTCAGTGGATTTTCAAAGGTAGTAAACTGCACAGGAAGAGATTGCCCATCCTTTCCATACTTCTTCTATGGTAGTTCTAGGTAACTAACCTGCTGTTGTTGTTATTATGTGCTATTGAGTCAGAACCGAGTCATAGCTGACCTTACAACAGATTTTTCAGAGGCAGTTAATTGCACAGGAGGAAACTGTCCATCCTTCTCCTGTGGAGCAGCTGATGTATTCAAACTTCCTGCCTTCAGAATTGTAGCTCAGCTTCTTACCACTAGGCTGTCAGAGTTCCCTAGGTCCCTAATTCTCTGCTTCCTATTCTACTACTATTCTAGGTCTTTCTCCTTCCATGCATTTTATTCTATTTCATTTTCCAATGGAAGATCTAGAATAAGGAATGGATAATGTGCTGTGAGAGAAAAGAAATCTACTAAATTGTGTTAGTTATTTATCAGATATCATGTAGTAGAGTGCATGAAAAAAACTGTACTGGATGTTTTGGCATTTAGAAGGCCATAAGAATGGCTGTTCAAGGGTGATAGCAAATAGTTATTACATGCTGGTAAAGAAGTCTTAGTATTAGTAACATAATCCAAGCACAAATACATCTACTTATCACTTATTGACTTTCTATCTGTGTTTCATTGACTATGCAAAGGCATTTGACTGTGTATATCACATCAAACGGTGGCTAACTCTGAGAAGAATGAGAATCCCAGAACACTTGATAGTTCTAATGAGAAACCTATACTTGGACCAGGAGGCAGTCATTAGAACACAGCAAGGAAATACTGCATGGTTCAAAATTGGGAAGGGTGTATGCCAAGGATGTGCCCTATCTCCATATCTTTTCATTCTATATGTGGAACAGATTATCTGGGAAGCTGAGCTCTATGAGGAGAATTGTGGCATCAGGATTGGAGGTAGCCTCATCAACAATTTTTGTTATGCTGATGACACAACCCTGCTTGCTTAAACTGAGGAGGACCTGAAGTGCTTGCTGCAG